AGATGGCAGTTCGGGATATAGCACGACAAGCACTTACAGCTTCAAAGCATCCAGCACAACTGGTAGCTACCGCACGGAATCTGAATACGATTATGCATTTATATCACACTTGAATACGCATCATCCGCTGGCTGAGTTAAAGATGCAAGGCTTGCGTGGCCACCAACAGTTGAATGCCAAAGTGTTGCCCGACACGTGCGTTTCTACTTTGGCGCAATTCATTGAACCCTGGCACGAAGAGGACACCGATGACGAAGATGACGACTCCGACACAGACACAAATTCGGATTCCGATGAAGAGTACAGCTCTAATGACGGTCGTTACGACGGTGCACAATCGAGATCAAATGGAAGAAGACGTTATCGCGATCACGAAACACTACAGGCCATACGTTTGTACAAGTTGGAGCAAGAACGCCGCAAAGTGCTGCTGCGGCAAAACTTTCTCAATTCCAAAGAGTTTATGCGTTACTTTGGCGAGTTAGTGCGCCAGCAACTAGCCGATCGCTTGCATATATCGCCCGATGAATTGAACGAGGGCACATATCGCGGCCCATCTATCTACACCAAGTACTTTGAACTCATACCCGCCATTTACGTAGCGCACAATGCACAGCACTGGCCAGATTGTGCATTTCAATTTCGTATACGCGAACGACCCGTCTCGACAAATCCACTCACAGGCCAGCAATTTCAATGGCCCACACGTACAATGATCAGACGCATAGAAACTTTCGGCTTTCATGTGATACCGGTGGGTTATGCGCCAAAAAGGCAGCGAAATCCCTTTCGTGAACTTGAATGGCGTATTGTTTTCCCAAAAGCCGAACGCTACTTGGAGCAGCATCTCACCAATACGCAGGTTAAGGTCTTTATGATGACTAAAGCTTTGGTGAAGACTTTTGTCGAGCCACAAGAGAAGCACAAGGCGCTCATGTTCACAATAGATCACCTGCGCATGCATCTCTTTTGGGAATGTGAGCGGAATTTTACCGGTTGGCCGGAGGAGTACTTGGGCGAAGTGCTGCTACGTTTTATTGGTACTTTTATGCAGCGTTTGCGTGAAAAGTGTTTGAAGGACTTCTTCATTGAAGAACGTAACCATTTCGAATCCATACCGGAGTATTCATTAGTCATGCTATTTTCAATACTCTCCGACATTGCCGCCAATCCATTGATGCATCTCATGGTAGCGCTCAGAAATGTGGAGTTTGCTGAAGATTTCTTTCCTAAGCTGAATTATAAGAAATTATTTGAAAATCTCTGCGAAAATAATATGCTAAAGTTGAAAGTACAGGCCAAGAACTCGCGAAGTCTGGTGGGGTTAGATGCAGTTGAGGATGAACCTGCGCTCATGGCAGATGAAGGCGCGAAGGGTTTGATTGGCATGAAGCAACATCGCGAGAAGACCAAAGGAAAATTGAGACGAAAAACGCATGTGATGAGACATAACATTGAAATAAAAAAGAAACAGGAATATGAGAAGCGACGGCTTTCTGAGGAGTCTATTGACGTTGAGGTAAGTGAGAGGCTAATTATCATACATTGAAAACTAGCCGACCACGGATGGGCAAGGCTTCGCCACGCGCTGAATGTATGCATATGAATGTACATTTACGTTCGCTCAGTAGCGTGGTTAAAATGTCTCGCATTTCCTTTATACTATGTATAGAAGATAGTAATTAGTAGTAAATAGGTGGCAACCCTACTCAAAAAACTAAAAGTTTTTTGGATGCGAAGGTCATGAACTTTCATTTGGTTTTTCATTTTTTTATCCAACGAACGGTGAAGATCTCATAGTTTTTAAACAGGTGGCAATCCTACTCAGCAAAATAATACATTATTACACATCCAGAGGCTAAGTCTTTTCATTTGGCAGTGACGGTGCAGAACTGACGCCTACGCTTACTAGAATTGAATATAGTAAATTTCCTAACAGGTGGCAACCCTACTAAAATTCTAAATTAAAAAGGTCACTCTCTTATCGATACAGAATATATTACAGAAAATCGTGTAAAAATCCGTTCATTAGTTTTCGAGATTACCGCGTACAAAAAATCTCGACTTTCCTTTATACTAAGTATGTATTAGAGCTCTAGATACCCGGGTATCGAGCAATGCGAGTAGCTCGATACTCGCTCGAAACTCGTTCATTGCTCAACTGCTCAAATGTTTGTTCAAAATTTTCGAGTTTTTGAACAGTTTCATAAACAAAAGAAAATTTGTAAATTGTATTTGTCAGCAGCTGCTTTCTAATTCATGTTAAATAAATTATATTATTAAATACCAGTGTAGCAATCTTTGCATTATATATCAATAATTTGAAAAATTTAAAAAGTTGCTACCAAAAATGTCAATATAATAAAAAAAAACATCGCTCAAATTACTCGAAAAAACTCGAATTGCTCGAGCTCATGCTCGAAATTTTTCGAGTAATGAGCATTGAACAAATGTGCGAGTACTCGCTGCTCATATACCCGGGCTGTTTGAAAATGTGCGAACAAAATCGAGAGCTCTAGTATGTATAGATATAAGTTTGTTCGCTGGTAGATATCCGGTTATTAGGATACATTTATTATGTCATGTCGTTGGCTGAGACCAATATACGCTGGTCCGCACACGGGAGTACATCCCCAGAACTTAGTGGTAAGTGACGTTTATACCAAAAACGGGAAGAGGTTCCAGCTTGACGGAAGGGTCGGTGGAGGGATATTTTTCAGGCAGCTGGTGGGCGCGCTAGCGGTAAGACAGCCAGACAATCAGGGCCTTGGGCAATGCCTTTACTGCTTAGCTTTCGATAGCGTCGGATTATAGCCGTGTTACACTTTTATGTGCGGCTGATGAAATGAGTCGGAGCTCCCACGACTACTTGTGGACTTCTCTTGGATAGATAGGCTTCGGGTCAACTCAGCGAACGCTGGGTGGATAACCAGCTCCTTAAGCTCGCGAAGCCGGATTGTTTTGGGTGTACTGACTGGCCACTGTCCCGTCGGGATTCATGCAATAAGTTTTAATATCGTACAAGGCAGAGTCAGCTCAACACTTCCTCTTAGACTGCCTGGAGTTTCCCAGATTGCGCCTTAGGCTTTTGGGTTCATACTTTCTTAAGCTGTTTGGTAAGCGGAGATTGTAGCCTAGCGGGATTTCACTGGAGCAAATCTCACCTCCGATTCCTTGATTTAGCCCGGAACCTCCAGTAAAAATAGTCGTCGACTCTGACGGGGTTCCATGCTTTCCTGTTTGGCTTTATTATGGAATTTTTTTTTTGTCTAGACAAACTAAGTAGAAGAGTAGTGTAATCTACATTTTGTAGACCTCTCAGAAGAGCTTCCAAAATCTTTTTGTGACCAAATCTGGGAGCTATCAACATTTGAATTTCATCTTAACCTGGCTGCATTACATAGGTCTAATTGAAGACAGTTTGAAGAAGAGTATTTTTTATTTTCTCGTAAAAAGTTCCATCTCGATCCTGGTCGGGTGGACACTGAGTCTACACTCCTTAGACTATATACTTAGGAGGATGAGGCCCTTTTAGCAGCTCGGATATAACTTGCAGGATCTTTCTCGTTTTTATAACTGCTATATATTTATCATACGCTATGACCTCGCAATCAATGTGCCATTAGATTTAAAAGGAGCTAGACAAGTTCTACCAGTCCTTTGACCTGCAGAAGGAATTTAGCTAAAAATTTCGACCGGGACAGATTCGTAGGCACCGCTGTCGGAAGGGCTTTGTGAAGATGTACTTAATCTCTTATTCACAATTTGGGAAAGTATTATGTCCCATTCTTTTCTCTCGAATTTATCTTACGCTGTCATTTAAGTAACTCTCACTTTCCGCTTTGCAGTTCTTTTTTTGCCGGAACCTCAAAAATTCTCAACCAAAGCAACTCAATCAGGGTGTTGAAAATTTACGACGCACAAATATACTCGAAATCTTTATCGATCATCTCATAGCGATGACTGAGAAGGCACTGGAGTTTCGTGTTCTATATTTGGCAAAAACTTTCTTGGCGCAAGCAAAACGACTTTGCAAATTCTACAACAACTATGGCTGCGATATGGGTGCAAAGGAATATCTTAGCACAATCGATAGCCTGGAACAGGAGATCAGTGGATTGCAGATGAACGAAGATTTTACGCATTTACCGCCGGCTTTGCCGATTCGTTCAAGTGTTGAAGCTGGCAAAATTAAGGGCACAAAGGAGTTATTCGAGCATTTGGAGTGTGTGCGCAGAACTGTAAAGGTGGATATTGAAACATGGAATTGTGAAAAGGAGGGGGGCAAAGCTGTGAGCCAAAGTAAAAGCAGCAACAATACGCTGGAAGAAAATACAGACCGCAAGAACAATGGAGGTTCACACAAGTCCACAAAGTTCATCGAGCACGTAGAACAAGCAGCAGAGCAGAGCGACACCAATCCGATAAAAAATCCTGAGAGTGCAAATGTTGCTGGCATTTTACGTTTCAACCCCGAAGTTACAGAAAAATACCAGGCTGCAAATGCTGCTGAGCAAAATAAATCCAGCGAGTCGTGTGTGGACTACGAATCTATCAAGGGCTATCATTTTGAAGATAGTACAACACCTAGTCATATGGAAATCCATGCTTTAAAGGAAGAATCTGATAAAACTCCATTGGAGATAGAGCATGAAGACGAATCGAGACAAGGTAGCGTTGCGCCAACAGCCAACGAAGAGACGAAATGCATGCGATTTGGTACAAGGTCGCGTATGCTACGAAATCTACCATTGAGCAATTCGCAAATGATAAAAGATCTTACAGCATCAACCGAAAAACTATTAGCAACAATGTCATCGGAGGAGAAGCGTATGCAGATAAGAGAAAATATCAAACGGAAAACATTGCAACTGAAAGGCGCTTTCATTCAAAGCTCAGAATCGTGATATTCAAGATAAATTTGTAAATACACATGTCTGATAAAAAAAAGCATTTGCTCTAACTTATTTGCATACATTTATAATTGTCTTTTATTAATATGTATTAGAGGCAGCAATATCGTAATGTCTCTCTTTCTTTCTTTGCGTTTACAATCAATTATTATTTCAAAGTAATGGTCAGCAGATAATAAATCTTTGGATGTGCAGGCAACTCAGCTATTGGTATGGGTAAAATTCGCGTCAACCCAGCAGTAAATTTGTAACTGCTTCATTTTGAGACTAATAAGAGATGAAAGATTCGAGATCATTACCGGACAAGTTCACGACTTTTTGGACCGTTTCGGGGCCTATTCTGACCTGTTTCAGACGCCTAGTTCGGGATCATTTCGGCACCTATACAGCACCGTTTGGATGCTTTTTCAGGATCGTTTCGCGACAAGTTCTGGACCATTTGAAATAATTGGTTTGAGTCCATTTCAGGACAGTTTTGAGACTAGTTAAGGATATTTTGTGGTTTCTTTCAAAATATCCCGAGACTAGTTCGGGATCATTTCGGGATAGTTCGAAACAAGCCACAAAATGATCCTGAAACTGAAGTATTCCCGAAGTGATTATGAGAAGTAGTGCACGGGTCCTGAGAACATGAATAAAATGAAATGAAATTAATGTTTAGTTTTTAGCCTAACCTAGTATTTATGTACATACTAGCTTATACCCGCAGGTTTCACCCCGCGCTTTTATACAAATAGGAAAAATAATTTAATGATGTTAGATTTTATTTCTGTGCCCATTTCGTTATAGCTCGTTATTTTCTAAGCGAGTTAAGGTATTTAGGCCGTTTAAAACTATGAAATTATAAAATCTCCTCTCTCCTCCCTCTAAGTTTACCTTAAAAGGTTTCTAGGTATACGACGCGTGAACGTGAAACCTTCTTCGAGGTGCCACGGCGAGTTCTAATATTTCCAACTCAAATTTAGTAACCTGGCCTTGATAAAATAGCACTTCTCATTACTGTAGCAAATGCCTCAAGAGAGCTTTAGATTATAACGTCGAACCCGGCTCTCCCTTTTCCATTTAATGAAATTTATTCTGTCTTCCACAAACACTTCCAGGGATATGTGGCAAGAAAAAGTAAATTTGTACTAGAAGTGCCACGCCCCTTTTTCTTATAACCCTAATCTTCTTCCATGAATTTAGAATTGCTTTTACATACCCCAGTACCAAGTCCCAGTACTCTACCATGAACACCTCTAGAGATAAGCAGTATAAAACAGTAAATTTGTACGGCAGGAACCATGTCCCCTTTTCGAATAACACAAATTCTTCTCTATGAGTATGGAATTAATTTTGTATAAACATCTCGGTGCCAAGTTCCAGTCCTCTGCAATAAACACCTCCAGCAAAGAAAAATCAATTTGCATGGGAGTTGCCACACCACCTTTTCCAATAACTCTCATTTTTCTCCATGAGTATGGTATTAGTTTCACATACATACATGCATACATATGTATTTCCATACAAAGCTTGAGTGCTTTACCCCAAACATTTGAAGAGATATGCAATATGAAACTTTCAGCCAGTATGGGAGGTGCTACGCCAATTTTTCCAAAAACGTCCATTTTGCTCCGTGAATATGAACATGATTTCACACAATGTTGGCAAACTGTTAATCTGATTAACCATTAAAATGTTAATCGCGTTTGACGATTAAAATTAATTAGTCGTAATCAACTGTACGATTAATGATAACATTTTTTTAATTGTTAATCGCTGGCTGCGATTACGTTTAATTAATTTAAAACATTAATCGTTAATCCAATTAAAAATAAAATCTGATTAATTTGTCTAGTTTGTCCGAGTTTGAAACCAAACACCAGTTATAGTAATTATTTTGTGTTTTACGCTTATAAAAAGCACGTAATATAAAAAAATAATTATTATTGTTATTAGTAATACATAAACTGGGAACTTTTACAAACCTAGTTTGTAAAACGTTTGTTAGTATACATATATCTTAATGAAAATGCACACCAAATTGCTTAGATTGATGAGGAAACCCGACTTAGCCATACTGGATTAACTTGCTTTGTGTGCACAGGAAAATTCCAGCATAACTTAATTAATCACCAAACCTACTTGATCAAATTAAGAGTTAATGATTAAAAATTAATTTTTTAATCGCGGTTACGGTTAACTGTTTAGTCGGATTAAAATTAATCATGATTAACTGTAAGCAGATTGAATTTAATCGAATTAACTAACCAATTAAAACATCAATCGATTAATGCCAACATTGATTTCACATGCATATCACTATACCAAGTTTCAGTTCTCTCCCACAAATGCTTCCAGAGATATGTATGTAATATGAAAATTCCAATTTGTATGGGAGGGGCCTTAAGCTATCGGACTTACTTTCAGTCTATTACCATCCTTCCGAAATCCGTAGTAAGTGTACTAAATTTCGTTCTGATCGGAAAACCGGTTAAGGAAGTAGCCTATTTTTCAATCCAGATCATAAACCATCTTTGAGCAAAATTTCATTTTCAAACAGGTGGCAATTCTTAAAAAAGTAGCCTATTTTCCAGTCTAGGTCATAAGCTATCTGTGTGCAAACTTTCATGCAAATCAGTTCGGTCATTTCCACGTATTAATTTAATTAAACTTTTCTAATACGTGATAACTCTTAAAATAGTAGCCTATTTTCCAACATAGGTCATAAGCTATCTCTGTGCGAAATGTCATGCAAATCTGTTCAGTCGTTTCCGCGTGTTAATTTGATTAAAACTTTTTTAACAGGTGGCAACTCTTCCAAAAAATTAGTCTATTTTCCACTGTAGGTCATAAGCTATCTGCTTGCAAAATTTCATGCAAATCCGTTCAGACTTTTCGGCGTATTAATTTAATTAAACTTTTTTAGCAGGTGGTAACTCTTAAAAAAGTAGCCTATTTTTCAACCTAGCTCATAAGCTATCTGTGTGAAAACTTCCATGCAAATCAGTTCACTCTTTCCGCGTCTTAATTAAATGAAACATTTCTAACAGGTGGCAACTCTTAAAAAAAGTAGCCTACTTTCTAACCTAGGTCATAAGCTATCTGTGTGCAAAATTTCATGCAAATCCGTTTAGTCGTTTCCGCGTATTAATTAAATTAAATTTTTTTAATAGGTGGCAACTCTTCCAAAAAATTAGCCTATTTTCCACTGTAGGTCATAAGCTATCTGCTTGCGAAATTTAATGCAAATCCATTCAGTCGTTTCCGCGTATTAATTTAATGAAACTTTTTTAACAGGTGGCAACTCTTAAGAAAAGTAGCCTATTTTACAATCTAGGTCATAAGCTATCTGTGTGCAAATTTTCTTGCAAATCCATTCAGTCGTTCCCGCATATTAAATAAATGAAACTTTTTTAACAGGTGGCAACTCTTAAAAAAGAATAGCCTATTAACCAATCTGGCCCATAAGCTATCTGCGTACAAAATTTCATGCAAATCCGTGTAGTCGTTTCCGCGTGATGATTTCCCAAACATCCAAACATACAAACTTTCACATTTATAATATTTATAAGATAAGATAAGATGTAAGGGCAGGTGCCTTAGAGGAATTTCCTTAGCCATTTTCTTTTTGTAACACGCATCCATTTTTTTGTTTTTGTTTTTGTTTGCTTGTTACAGTGGATTAAGTGAAGTAGCTCAGGCACTCAGATGGTTATCTTAATCGAGCTGGTCTCGCTATTTGCTATACCTGTAAACTCTGGGTTACTAATTATATATCAGGACTTGGCCAATGTTTGTGACAAATTTTAACTAACTCAGTATACAGAACAACTTGGCTTTCGTAGATGGTCTTTGTATGTAAGAATATAATTTTAGTTTCATGTCAATGCTAAATGCTTTGTTTTTATTAATTATATAAACGGAAAAGTTGATTTAATAAATTCAGGAAATGTTACTGCTCTCTTATAAAATGATTGCGAACTATTTGCACGAAATATATTAGATACCATTAACTAAGTTAAATTTGATTTTCAAACCCTTTAGCTACCCTTGTCAAAAATATTTTATCGAAAAACTTTATTTAGACACTCGCATTGTAACTTATCATTTAACCTCTAATTAAACTGAACCGAAGCTTTTAAAATGATGGCAAACCTTTCCAAAATATTTTGGAAATAAAGCTTACTTAAACCGCCATCGTTTGGCACCCGTATTGAAATGTTTTATTTAAATTGTCAAATCAATTAATTTCGAGGAAGGTCAAAATAGATATTTCCGAAATAAAGCTTTCTTAAACCTTCCTCATTTCATACGCATATAAATAGCTTAACTATTTAATTAAATTGATTGTGACTAACTAAAAAGGTGGCAGCCGTATTGAAAATATCTTCAAATTATGTTATTAATATTACAAAGCTTCATAAAACTTGTTAATAAAACCGATTTGGAATTTCTAACAGAAGGCAACCCATTTCAAAGATATTTTAAAAATAAAGCTTACTTAAACCTCTTTCGTTTTACACTCACATTACAATATTTCATTTAAGTTGTTAACTTAATTGATTTTGAGCTCCTTAACAGGAGGCAGCACTCATAAAAGCCATTTTCCAAATTAAGTTTTCTTAAACGACTCTCGCTTCTGCGAATTAAATTGATTTAACTTTTTGAGTAGCTGGCAACCCTCTTTCAAATTATTTCCTTATAAAAATTGGTTTAAAACCCCCTGCATTTGGTACCTACGATATGGAAATATTTTATTTTACCTATGAATTAATTGATTTTTGCTTTTGAAAAAGGTGGCAATACTCATATTTATAATACGAATACTAGTAGGATTTGGTATACTTTACTCACATCAACGCCATGCTCTGCATAGAAATCACCAGTGCCCATTGATGCATACAACTTATAACCCATTTTTGCAAGATCTCGGATTGAGGGCAGCAACTCCATTTTGTGCTGGAATAAAAACTTTTTAATTTATCGAACTGACTTTATAATTTCTACATCCCTGATCTAAACATACCTTAAAACTACCAATGGAGAGTAGTATGGCCTTTTTCGGTATCTGGAAGCCAGTAGACATCATGGCTTTCAAGTAAGCCTCATAGCGATTGTCACCGAAACAGGCCACCTCACCGGTGGATGCCATTTCCACGCCCAACTGCACATCCGCACCAGCCAGACGGGAAAAACTGAATTGAGGCACCTTCACACCGACTTTTCCCACGCCGTGCAACACTTCCACCGGCTCAACTGGTATGCCAATAATGGCGCGCGTTGCCGTCGCCACGAAATCGTGATCCAAAGTCTTCGATACAAATGGAAAAGAGCGCGAGACACGCACATTACATTCAATCACTTTGAGCTCATTATTCTTGGCAATCAATTGCATATTGAAGGGGCCAGTGACATCGAGTAGCGCTGCCAGATCGCGTGTTATGCGCTTAATGGTTTCCAGAGTTTCATGATTTAAATCCTGCGGTGGTGTTACCAATGTGGCATCGCCTGAATGCACGCCAGCATTTTCCACATGCTCTGAGACGGCCATGCAAAGGATCTCGCCATCAGCCGCCACAGCATCCACATCGATTTCCTTCGCCTCTGTGAGGAACTTCGAAATAACCACCGGGTGCTCTTTGCTAACCAATGATGCTGCATTCAAGTAAGTTTCCAAATCTTGATTCGAGTAGGCCACATTCATGGCGGCGCCTGAGAGCACATATGAAGGCCGCACCAGGCAAGGATAGCCAACTTCCTCGCAAAATTGTATGGCACTCTTCAGGTTCGTCAATTCCTTCCAACGCGGTTGCAGTATACCCTTGCGGTCCAACATGCGCGAAAACTTGAAGCGATTCTCAGCGCTATCAATGGATTCCGGTGAAGTGCCAAGCACTTTGGCTTGCTGACGATGTAGGTCCATGGCGATATTGTTGGGCAATTGTCCGCCCATGGAGAGTATAATACCATCGGAATTCTCCATTTCGTATACGTCCATAACTACTTCGAATGAAATCTCCTCGAAGTACAGACGATCGCACATATCGTAATCGGTGGACACAGTTTCGGGATTATAGTTTATCATTATGGTGGGTTTACCGAGCTTGCGCAACTCACGGAGACAGCCGACTGCACACCAGTCGAACTCCACCGACGAGCCAATGCGGTAGACGCCTGAACCAACTACGATCGTGAAATCGCCAAGGAAATCCAGATCGTGCGCATTTGCGTTGTAGGTAAGGTAGAGATAATTGGTCGTAGCTGGCCATTCACCAGCCACCGTATCTATTTGCTTGACAAACGGTTTGATGCCCAATTCTTGGCGTTGTTTGCGCACCGCCAATTCGGTGCTCTTGATGGCCGCAGCAATTTGTTTGTCGGAAAATCCGATTTGCTTTGCCTGTAGAATTTGCGCCACTGACAGCGTATTCCCAGTTTTTTCCAAATTGCTGTGAAACTCTATGATGCGCTTCATCTTGTTGAGAAACCATCTGTCAATCTTTGTGAGCTGATGCAACTCTTCAACGCCATAATTAGCCTTCAGCGCAGCGGCCAACACAAATGGTCGTTTGTCGGTGGGCTCTGTCAGCTCTTCTTTACGCAATGGATGTTGATCAGGATCAAAACCATTAACGCCACTATCCACCATGCGCAAAGCTTTCTGAAAAGCCTCCTCAAAGTTGCGGCCAATAGCCATTACTTCGCCCACGCTCTTCATAGAGCTACCGATATTCTTACTTACGCGTACGAATTTCGCCAAATCCCACCTTGGTATCTTAACCACACAGTAATCCAAGCTCGGCTCGAAGCAGGCGGTAGTCACACCAGTAACCGAATTCTTGATAGAGGGCAGCGAAACGCCCAGCGCCAATTTAGCCGCAACATATGCCAGCGGGTAGCCAGTAGCCTTACTAGCTAAGGCGGAGCTACGTGACAGACGCGCATTTACCTCGATAATGTAGTACTCCTCCGAGTGTGGATTGAGCGCGTATTGTATGTTACACTCACCGACAACGCCAAAGTGGCGTATCACTTTTAGAGCAGTGCTGCGCAGCATGTTATACTCTTTGTTGGAGAGCGTCTGCGATGGCGCCACCACAATACTTTCGCCAGTGTGTATGCCCAAAGGATCGAGGTTTTCCATATTACAAACGGTTATGCAGTTGTCGAAGGCATCGCGCACTACTTCGTACTCCACCTCTTTCCAGCCTTTGAGCGACTTGTCAATAACCAACTGACTCGAGTGTGCCAATGCTTGATGAGCTAGTGTCTCTAGTTCGCGTTCGTTGTCTGCAAAACCTGAACCTAAACCACCCAAGGAGAATGCCGCACGCGCCATTACAGGATAACCCAAACGCTTTGCCGCCTCTAGCGCCTCCTCCACGGAGTATACAGCCTCGGACGGTGCTACGCATTCGCCGATTTCAGCCACGCGTTCTGCAAAAATTTTGCGATCTTCAGTTTCGATGATGGATTGTATCGGTGTGCCGAGTATTTGGACATTGTACTTATCGAAGACACCAGCGCGTTCCAATTCCACCCCGCAATTGAGCGCGGTCTGACCGCCAAATGTAAGCAGAACGCCGTTGGGACGCTCTGCTTGTATGACTTGTTTGACATATTCGGGAGTTAGCGGTAGGAAGTAGCATTTGTCGGCCAGTCCCTTTGAAGTCTGCACGGTGGCGATGTTGGGATTTATCAGGACAGTTTGGATTTTCTCCTCTTTCATTGCCTTGATTGCTTGCGCGCCCGAGTAGTCGAATTCGCCCGCCTGACCAATGGACAAGCCGCCAGAGCCTAAAATCAGCACCTTACGCGGACGCTTCTCGGGAATGTTATTCAATCGAGGTCGGAAAGTCAGACGCTCGATCAAATTTTGACGCAAGCTCAAAGCTGCGGGTATATTTTGTTGCTTTACCGCATCAAGGAAGACATCGAAAAGCAATTCTAAGTCTTCCGGACCAGCAGTGTGCTCTGGATGAAATTGCACCGAGAAGTATGGTTTGCTTGTGTGAATAATACCTGAAAATTTGTGAAATAATTTAAATATATGCAAAAATTAGGAGCTTATTGTTTGACCGTACCTTCGTTGGTGTTATCGTTGGCATTCGTAAAGAGCGGCTCCCACTCAGCAGGCAAAGTCTCGCTATCCACTGCAAAGCCGTGATTTTGTGAAGTCATGAAGCAGCGCCCGGTGCCGTGGTGTACGCATGGCAGATTGTGTCCGCGATTACCATATTTCATTTTATAGGTCTTGCAGCCGATAGCTGTTGCGAGCAACTGATGACCCAAGCAAATGCCAAATATGGGTTTCTTTCCATTTTTCAGCACCTTTTGTATCTGCGTAACAGTATCCTTACATACGACCGGGTCACCAGGACCATTACTAATAAATAGCCCATCGAACTCCTCCTCTTTCAGCGCATAATTCCATGGCACCAAGTCTACACGCGCGCCGCGTGCCACAAAACATTTAATCTGATTCAGTTTTAAACCACAATCGATCGCACAAATCCGTGGCGTGCCAGAGGCATTAAAGACGCGCGGCTCCTTAACTGAACACTCAGCAACCAGATTGCGCAAGTTCGGATCGGCGAAGGTTAGCATTTGCACGCTCGCTGCTGGCATCTGATAGACAATGCGCCCCAATATGGACCCATTTTCGCGTATCTTTTTCGTAAGGGCGCGTGTATCAATGCCGCTTATGCCCGGCACCCCGTAACCTTCCATCCAACGCGAAAGCGTCTGGCGCGTCCGCCAATGTGAGGGTGCTTCACACACTTCACCCACCACCAAAGCAGCTACTGTAATGCCCTCGAACCATTCGAAGTTCACCGGCAAGCCATGTTCGTCGAGTTCCTTCTCATCTGGCACGCCGTAATTACCGATCAACGGATAAGTGAGTACAAGTATTTGTGCGCGATATGAGCGATCAGTCATCGATTCGGGATAACCGACCATGCCGGTTTGGAAGACAACTTCACCATCGACGGGTGTTTTAGAGCCAAAAGCGCGACCCGGCAGTATAGTGTTGTCTTGTAAGACCAAATAGCAATTTGGTGATTCCATTGCGCGGTAAATAACTGTAGAGCTGTAAAAGAAAAGTACACTCGTATGTAGTGCTTATTAGCATTTGAAGCAAAGGAATATGGGAACAATTTAGAAATATTAAAATCGCTACAGTTGGTTTCGACCGCCGCTTTCAAATCCATTTTCCCGATAAAATTGATTGGGAACTTAACATCGTTTTAGACGATGATGAGATCCCAATTCAAAATTGACATTGGAACCGGTTCTGGGGTTTTATCTTAGAAACTGTCTTGGAGAGATATTTTAGGCTGAGACACATCGACCCGGCCCCATTTAAACCTGCCTTCGTTGTTAAACATTTCAACTGTTATCAAGACCCTGTTTTCGCAAAGGAGTCTAAAGATATGAGTTCAGGAATTCTGAAGATTCCATCACTAGGTAAGGGAAAGCGATTATAAGCATACACCTTCCTCTGCAGTTCCTATATTTACGAATTCAGTATATAGTCGACAGCAGATGGACTAGTCTGCACATGTGTAATGCATCGGGCCAACATTCGGCTGCTGCCCGGAATAACAGCGGGCAGACTGGACTATTGAACACATGGCCGCCAGCTTCGAAGCCCGATCTCTGCAGAAGAGCTTTAGAGATGCGGAACAGATCGAATCCACTGAGAACTTCCTTTGCGAGCACCCCGTACTCCAAAGAAAATACCGCAAATTTCTGTGGGGCCGCTTCTTCTATGCCTCTGAAGGTTAAAGACAGGTAGGCGCAGGTGTGGGGAAAATCTTCTCCTAAGCATCAGAATTGACATCCGAGTGAAAGCTTTAACCAGAGCTGCTCGGCAGACCTAACTTAAATCATTGCAAAAAATACATTAATAAATAAAATAAAATTGATTAAATAATAATAAAACAAAACAAAACATAATTAATTAAAAAATTATAAAAAATAAAATAAAATAAAGTAAAAAATAATATAAAATGATATAAACCAAAATTAAATTAAATTAAATAGAAGAAAATAATATAAATAAAATGAAATGAAAATAAATTGAAATGAAATGTATTAAAATAAAATTATATAAAATAAAATAACAAATAAAATAGTGGGAAAAAGCAACAAGAATTCCCAAGGCGAACTTAGCACAGTGCGCAGGCAACTGGCTGAGTCAGTGGGATCGTCGATTCGAATGCTACTGAAAGAAGTCTGATGAGGGAATGTGGTGATTTCCGAAATAGCTATCACTTCTACCATTTTTTTCAAATTATTGTTGCTTTTCCACAATCAGTTTTTCATTAAAAACGGCCTCAAGCTCAATAAAAATTGTAAAAATTGTAAAAAAATAAATTAAAATAAAATTAAGTAAACTAAAATGGGATAAAATAAAATATCTGAACATAAAAGAATAAAATAAAATAAAACATAATTAAATTGGATTAAATAAAATAAAATTGTGCGATAAAAAAGCAATGATCAAGTTATAGATTTAAAAATAATAAATATAATTTTATTGAAAACATGCGCATTACATACATACAAATACATATAAACATATGTATACTTAAAAACATGTGGTAAACAATTGTTTCGCTAAAAAGATGTCACTTCTATTTATGCCTGTATCAAAAAGGGTATACATTTTTTACCTGTTATCACCGGCATGCCTTTTTGTTTACATATGTATTTTCTTAGAGCACGTGCGCACATTTATCGCTCTCCAAACACACAAAGCTTGAGGTATGTACATACATATATGTATATAAAAACAAACCACGAAAACTAGAATAATTTGTTTTAACTTAACGAATTACGTTTTCAACAGAGAGCTAAAATTTAAGTTTCTCAATAAGAGAGAAACTAGTTTGTTGAAATCGAGCGGCAGCATAAGACTAAGTATGCGTTAGTAAATTCATATATAAATTCATATAAGTAGATACATACATGCATGCGTACATAGGTATACCGGCACAATAAATAAAAATAAGCATACGTATGTCCATTAGGATGGCCCTTAGTTATATGGAGACAAATAAGCGAAGCGAAAAAGAGTTTACCGATTGAAAAATATTGCTTTTCAAGGATTCTATACAATTTCTACCAAAAATAGTTTTTTCGCCACAAAAAATAAAATGGAAAACTTTGAGCGCTTTGAGCCACCTCTAAATATTTTTTGAATGACCTCACCCTTTGTATAGTTTAGTCTTTAGGCTATTCACATATTTCTAGGGGGTGAGACCGAGAAACCGATTTTTTTTTCGAAATAAGGGCCACCCTAATGCCCATATATACATAAGTATGAGACTGAAAATCGAATTGCGATCTACATATGTAAAAGTATGTACGTATTTTATCAGTTAATTTATTGAAGCCGTTTGCCCGGAACACATCGCACACCGTCTTAAAAAGAGGCACATCTCAAAAATCAACTCCGGAAATATAACTGCTAGTGGATTGTACAGATTCAACGCAATTTATACAAAAACAGATACACCAGTAGTTTTCTAGTTAGAAAATATAATCATAGAGAAAAAATTTTCATTCATTTGAGAAAAATCGTACGAGTTTATTCAGCAAAAAAATGTTTTTGAGTTGTGTCTTTTTTGAAGACGGTATGCGACTACTACTTTTTTGTGACCGACAGCGAAACTTGTATATGGGACCGAAAGAAAAAAAACATTCTTTATTACTACACCACATGATAAAATAAAAAAAATATGATAAAAAAAATCAAAACATACGAAACAATAAGTAGTTTTTTTGTCAGTGTATATAATCATGAAGAAACAAATATTTCCATCAATTGGAGGTAGGTCCTATGCATTGATTTATGCAAAAGAATTATAAATTTTTTTTTGTGTTTTAGTTGATTGCACTACCACCAGCTGGCATTCCAAATGAGCTCAATTTCAATTACGGGTATAATGTTGGGCTTGTTTATTTAAATTTTTGTTGTTTTCTTTTTGTTTGCAGAAAAAATACGTATGTACTTTATTTTGCATTCTAATAGTGTGTACGAGCATATGCACGTGAGCGTATTTGTAAGTGTAATATGTATGCAGTACGTACTGGAGTTATAAAGTAGAATCCGAAACTTGTTCGAGGGAGATATGTATGTATTAGGGATGTTTCGAATGTCATATTTTGCACATGCGAATTTTCGGAATGCGAATGCTAATTTTCGGAATGCGAATGCGAATGCGAATGTCCGAATGTTTGGAATAACATTGAAAAAGCTATAATCAACTTAAGTCATCGTTTTTATTACTTTAAAATTTTGCAAATTATTAGAACATTGAGCGAGTGCTTATCCTATATTATAGTATTTTAATCTAGTAGCCAAGGTTCAAAAGGGGCATATTATATTTCATGAGGCGATTTCTTAGAGGCGCCTATATAAGGCCGGCTGCACTGAACAATTGCTCACTTGGAACGCTGGCGGGTGGATACCTCAAATACATATTTGTGGGCCAGATCTGTCAATTTGTCGTTTTTTGGTCTATTTTTCCTCCAATCGAGAGGATTTTCACGGAGATGAACTCGTTTTTCTTTAAGATAGGCCTTTAATTCAGCCTTAATAACACATTTTTTGATGTCTCCAGATTCTACACCCGAATGCGAATGCAAATATTCGCAACATCCCTGGTGTGTATATAGGCCGAATGCTTAATGAACCGGTTGTAAGGCTAGTTACGTACCTACAAGCAAGCAGCGAGCCTTTTGTATACAATACATGTGTACATAAGTTTGTATGCATGTAAATTAGGGTGTATCACAAACAAATCAGTTCTATTTTTCCAACGGAAATATACAATCTATTATATTTTAAGACTTCCGCCAAAATTTTTCTTAAAATAAATTAAGTTTTACTTGAGTTGAAGCTATTTGAAAATAACTTCAAAGATCGGGTTAGTGTTTGGTCGAGCTTCTACTCCGATTTGTGGCGTGCGCCTTGATGTTGTGACGCAAAGGGGAGGCGCCACCAGTTTTACGCCGACTACGAAAGGCGATTTTTTACTTTTTTTTTTATTTTGGGTTGAACCGCGCTTGAACTCAGGCCAAGTGGAATGGTAGCGCGCACTGCTAACCATTACACCACAGCGGCCGCCAGAACTGCATACAAATTTTTAAGAATTTATTAAATTGTTTCAAAATATAACAAATCTTATATTTCCGGTGAAAAAACCACAACTTTTTTTGGTGATGCACCCTAGTGTACATAGGTATTAATGTAGTCGTATGATTGTCTGACCTTTTGATAAATAGTAATATATTAAGAGATTTTATCTGGCTAAGAGTCCAATGTACACCTGGTTATTAAAATCGAATTTCATAAAAAATTGATCAACTCCTTATTATTTCCACAGGCATTTGCCACATGTTTCCTCTTACAAACCCACATACACACACACACACACGAACTCCCAGTAATAAGTGCGCACGTTCATCAGTTATGTATGTGACAAGTTTAAATTTTGCATTTGAATTTTCAGGATTTATTTATGGTTAAGTATATATTTTTATAAGCTTAATTATCACTCACTTTGTCTACTGAAAATGTAAACAAAAATTAAAGAAAGCAAACAATTTTCACTTTTAAAATTTTCCACGTGGCTTTTGCTGTATCTGCAAAACACAACCGAATTGGAGAAGGAAATACTACCTTCACGACTGGTCGCTAGCACACGACTAAATTGCTGGAGCTTATATTAAAGCAGAGACAAAGTATTGGACAATGTTGCCATATATTTTTGTATATTTTTACGCTAAAAAATTTTAGAGAAATATTTTGGAAAAATTTTGGGGATTTCGAAGAGAGATTCCAATATACATAGTGCGCCGAACTTTTTGTGCCGTTTAGCTTGACGACTAAATAAAAATTATGGTAAAAAAAAGTTAACAGCAGTTTTGAAAAACTTTTAAATATCCTTCTGTCTCAAAAAGGAAAAATGTTAGATTTCCAAAATTATGTATGTATGTATGTATGTATTTTAAAAAGAACCTCTCTTTTTTTTTATCAAATTTGACAAGCCAATTTCAGCGTTATATCGGGATATTTTCTGAAACTGTGAAAAGCCTCAAAAGCCCCGAAAGTCTCGAAACTTCGATTGAATGGTTAAGACTACTATATTTCCATGGAAAGCGATAAAAATGTGCCATCATTTTATTTTAATAAATCTTTTTATTTTATTTCAACAAGGTTATTGAGCTTTATACCGCAATTGTTTTTTTCGGAAAAGTGGAAAAAGCAGCAAAGTTTAAGTTATTTGGAGTAATTTGTATTTATGTATAAGGAAATGTATAAGCATCAAGAGATTATATAGTGTTCTTAACTCAGCGCTGTGCTAACTTTGCACTTCGATGGTGCGGGTTCGATCCCTGCTGAAGTCTAGAGAAAAAAGTCTGATGAGAAGATGTGATGTTCGCCGAAATGACTTCTACTACATAGACTTTTTTGTCATCTTTTCTTAAAATCATGGTATAAACTCAATGACCTTGCTGAAAAAGACATAATTACTAAAAATAACAAAGATATTTTATTTAATTATAGAATCAGTAGAAATGTATTATTTTTTATCAATGCAGGGATCATTTTTGTACAAATAGTGGTTTAAAGACGTAAATAAAAAGCACACAAAATAAATATGTAATATCTCTTAAAAATTTTTGATGATAATTTTATCAGTGCTTTTACAATTTAAACTAGATGGTGGCATCTCCAGATAACCTACATTTATATACTATGTATACTTATGTATGTGTGTTTATATGTAAATCAATACGCTTATAGTACTAAACAACCTAACTTGCCTTTCGAGTTCTGGTAGCATAACTTGCTCCTCTCGCAATAGCATCGGAGACCGGCATTTTTTATACTAATTGAAACTGCCGCTCTTTGCTGCTCTGAGTACTACTTTATCTTGCATAAGGTATTATTGTTCTCATGTAGAATTCTAGAATCTAGTACTGCGCGCAAAGCAGAGTAAAAAAGTTTTGATAAGCGAGCAAAAATCAACAAGTGATATGGGCATGCTTAAATACATATATAAACCTGTATGGCGCAGAGTGATAAATCTGTTTTCTTTCCGATTTAAATCACTGACTCCAAAACACTGTTCACCAGAATAATCAGCTTCAAAAATATGCACGTTCTGACTATTTTATTTATTTACATATGTTTTCTATACCAAATTTTTCTTATTTTTTATAAAAATATAGTTCATTCAACAGCAAAAATCACAAGAACCGATTTCTTGAATATCATACAAAAGCAATTTTCAAGTCGCTAAAACTGCCGTTGATTTTTGAGATTGTTTCTTACAAAGGATGTCGCGTACCTTTCTTCATATTAACAAATAATCGAATTGAACAAATAATCGAATTGAAAAATTTAAAATTTGCATTTTCCCTTAGCTTTGTATAGAATAAAAAATTGATTCTTGTGGTTTTTGCTGTTGAATGAACTACACTATAGTGCACAGTGTTTGTTGCATGGTGTTTGTTTGTTAAAATATGGTTCATGATTTAACCAAGTCTTTCAATTTTTACTTTTTATAGCGCATACAATTTTTGTGTCTTTTCCGTTTTTTTTTTTTTATAAGAAGTGCAATTTATGAGAACTGGCACTGATTTTTTTTGGGATTTTGCTGCGAACGGTCTTCCGCATTTTAGTTCACACGAAATTCATGCTCATATTAAAAAAATGAAAAACTCCGCCAGCAAAAAAAAAAAATATTAAAAAGCAGTGCCACTTTTAAAAGCTTGAATTAGAATTAGATTACAAACTTCAAAATTTTTATTTTTTTATTTCATAAAAAATAAAACAAACAAATTTAAACTTTGAAAACCTTGCATATATTTAACAAAAATCACGATGTATTCAGTTTTGCACTTAAGTGCATAATTTTATAAAAAATAAGAAGTATCTGGTGTGAAAAATAAATAAAATCGACAAAACGTCAGAATAAGCATATTTTTACCAAATTTTACAGGAGAACGGTTTTTCTACTTTTAAAAATTTTTTACATTTTCTATTTAATTTTTTTTTTTTTACTTTTATTTGCCATACTTTTGTATGGCACTTACAATAATTTCACCCACAAAAAAATATACAGCTGTAGTCCAAATTTGCATTAACATTGAAGCACATCGCAAAAGCTTTTAGATTGCATACAAAACATGTATAACAGTATGCGGTGTGCAAAAAGCTTTTAATAAACTTGGCGCTAATCGAAGTGTTATACCAATAAAACTGTAGGAACGTTAAAATGAAACAAAAAATACCGAAACACGTAAACTTAATTATCAGCCGGATAATACGGATATGTGCACCGTTTTGGTAAATCAGGTAATTTTCCCAAGATGTTTTCATTTTAAGTTTGCATTGTGAATGAAAAAATGCAAACTTTAACAGGGAATAGGCATATGAGTGACATTTTTTTGCTGTTCATATTTCATAAAAAAAAATGATTAGGCATTTTGATTTGACCATTCGCAACTCATTTAGTTACGCATCGATTTTGGTAGCTTCTCAAATGAAATAGATAAGAGTTCATTTCTTTCTAAAACAGCATTTAGTGATAGACTAAACCTCATCTGCTTTTGGAGTACGCCATTTTTATACACAATTTTGTATGGTTATACATATCGTTAAGACCGCATTTCCGGGAAAAGCTTAACCAATAGGAAATTCAAAATATAGAGTATTTTGGTTTCTCACAACCGCTAAAAGGTTTGAATCCCGGAGGTAATTTTCTTCGAGAATGCCAATGTCAGATTTTGTTTTCTCGTTTCTATACCAACAAAAAAAGGTGCACCTTTGCCCTTGTCGGCCATTAGACAAAATTCTTAAAAAAAAAAAAACATAACTAAAATCATCTACCAAAACTAAACTTTTTTATGGTATCTAAATATTTAGATATTTTCCTGTTGAAATTAAATTTGCAATTATTAATTTATATTTAAATTCTTGAAATAATTGACTTACTTTACTTTAATCACCTGCACATGGACTCGTACCTGAGATCTCAGAAGCAGAATCGTTCGTCTTCACTTGAGGCCACAGCCGACATTTCAGAGGATAGCAATTAACTGCATTTTAATTTTTGTTATGGCAATTCAAAGACTGATGTCGCTGATCGCATAAGTTGTTCTAAACCGTCGAAATGGTAGGCCGTCGTATTTTTACTGGCTGGTTTGGCATTTCAATGCGGAGAACTGGTGTAATTATAATTACAATTATATATATTATTATTATTATTATTATATATATTATTATATTATTATATATAATTAACAATAATTATTGTTCATAACGAACTGGTATGACTTCCCCATTGAATACCAGTTTTCGAACCAGAAATTCTACCACCTAGTTTACCTTATTCTACGAGGAACTGGTAGTTTACTTTCCACGAGGAACTGGCGACTTCTATCCTTAAATAATAGTTCATGAACTGGAATTTGTTCCTACTAGTACAGCTTTTCACTACAGGGTTGTAGCGTTTTTTTTCGTCAAATCGCCATCTGTGTCGCTGTTGTCATTTCCTAATATAATTTTGAGTCGCACTCCTGTCTGTCAGCATCTCAAGTTATTCACGCACACGCGTTTTTGCCTCTATTTTCTTCTTTTAAAAAATACGTACGTATATCTTTCATTTCTCTTTTAAAGGGTACCGCTCGATCGATTCCCAGCAGTTTCTTGTTTAAGCAGGATTCAGAGTCGATTGCGAAAGTTCTCGGGTGTGGTTTGTGACTGTATTGTTTCTGTGTGTTTCGATGCTAAATAACTCCGTGCTGCGGCGAAGTCGATGAGTCCTTGGAAAGGCTTTTCCATTTACAAAATATGCGAATGCAAAAATTCATATTGTTTAGCATTATAAAATGAATTTCAATATACATTTTAAGTTGTCATAACACATCAAATTTGATATAAACCTTAAGCAGTAGAGTAGAAGGCCTCTTGACTCTCAGGAAGGGCTTTCGTAAGGGCTTCTAACTCCTGAAATTATCTACTGGGTAACTACTTATGGATACGTTCCCACTATTTCGCCGTGTTATCAATTAACAAAAAACTAAATAATGCTTTTTATTTTGTGTACTATGATTAATTTTTTATTGCAATAAAAAACTAGCAATTCAATAAAGTTAACAAAAATTATTACAAAAAAACAAGGACACATTTCAATATACATATTCCATCAATCTCAAACAATTCGATTGCCGACAAAAACACAAACTGCAATAAAAACGTATTAAAAAAATTAATTTCTCAAGAAAAAGAAATCCATTAAAATGTAAATGTGCTTTAGAAGTTCCTTTTTTTTGGTTCATAAGTTTAGTAAAACACTAAGAGTTAAATATGTAAATCGATATTGTTGTAGATATTTACTATGCGTTTATAAGTATGTATGTATTTATATCGGTGATTCGTATGTGTATATATGTATCATTGTCAGTATAAAGAAATCTAAATGCATACACTTTTCTTTCCTCTTCTCAATATTTTACACATTATAACCTGTTATTTACTTGCAGATTTTTTTAAATAATTTACTTCGCGCTATAATAGATAATATTATATATTTAATAATAAAATAACTTTAAATGCTTGTTAATTAAACATTTGTTGGCGCATCCATGCCACAAATAATCGATTTGACCACTGCAGCTGCCGCCAGAGATGCAAAATTCTGCCATTTTCGCGTCGACATGCCGTCCTTGTAATCGGAAATACCTGCAGCGATAGAGGAGTACAGAAGTAATATGTATTAGCTATGAAAATAAATTCTACATTCATCACCGCCCACCTTTCACTAGTATGAAACTCTCTCTACAATTGCCAATAATGCTGTCCAGCACTGAACTCATTTCCACATCTGTGGCGAGTAGTCCATATTTCTTAACGAAATCCATGCGTGAATTATCGCTACGCACCAGATCGCGTCCGGAACCAATGGGTCCAAGATGCAGGCGGGAACGTGGCACACCATCCACCGTGTCCGTGGCGATCGGGTGTGCCACCTCGATGACTTCGTTGTTGCCGATATTCATGAAGAGTTTATCGGTGTTGACGGAAGGACGATTAAAATCACTCTCAGTTTTTTGCATCAACGATGACAGGCCCTCACGCAAATAGGTATCCCAAGGACGCTTCAGCTCCATGTTGGCTTGCAAGCCTTCAGCGATCTGTTGTAGGGAGTCATTGATGGGGAAATATGTCTTCACATCATCGCCACTCTTGTAGACATAAACGTAGGGTTTCTCATTTCTGTGTCGATATGTAAATGTAGCAAGGATTAGCGAATTATTATAAGAGCGTAATATATGTGTATGTATGCTTGTGCATTAGGGTGCATTAAAAAAAAGTTGTGGATTTTAAAACGGAATTATAAATTTTATTTTTTTTTAAACTTCTGCCAAAATATTTCGGAAAATATTAAGGTTTATGTACGCGCTAGACCGATTTGAAAATGCCTTCAAAAATCTCATAATTTGGATTTCGTTTTTAATATTTTACAATATTTTTATGGGGACCTTTTTAGCTTAAACTCTTATATTATCTGAGGTGATTTTTTGGTAAAAATATTTTTAAAAACTAATTTTATTTATAAGAAACGCAATTTTTGGAGGTATTTTCAAACGGGCCTAGCTCACATAAAACTTATCTAATATTTCTACAAAATATTTTAGCAAAAGTCTTAAAGTATAATAAATTTTATAAGTTTGGAGGTATTTTCTAACGGGCCTAGCTCACATAGAACTTATCTAATATTTTTACAAAATATTTTGGCAGAAGTTTTAAAGTATAATACATTTTATAATTTCGATGGAAATACAATACCGGTTTTTTTAGAGTGATGCACCCTAATGTGTATAGTTTGCATTATAAATTAAAATTATATACATTTTTTACTCACTTGCTCAATAGCGCACGTTGTTTCTCCACATATGAAACGACCACATCTCCCAGCCGCACATGCTTCTTGTAATCTGTATAATGTGGCACACCACCGGCCACGCCCACCACGAAGACATAGTCGACCTTTTGGAATGTACCCAGTAGACGTGTCGTCGTATTGCCTGTAGCGGTCATAGCTTCGCGAGTACTGCCAGCCGAAGGTAATTTCGTGCTGACGATGCGATGTGCACCAATGTTACCCAAGGTGTAGACATTCGATTCGCCTGGTGGTAAGAGAGTTTTTCATATTAATCAAATGATCTGCACGTAGTTGAACCCGAGTACTGATATTCAGGATTGTGGATAAGTGATTTGAATGTGATACAAAATGATTAAATTTACAATAAATAAAACAGTGAAATGGTGAGTTGCGATGTGAGAAAGTCAAATGTGATATGCACTGGGGCGGGGGGATACGCTTGCGGTAAGGCAGTGAATGATCTCACTCATGAAATGATTAAATGGTACGATATGAATGTTTTTTAATATTATTATGGTCACTTTGTTTTGTTTATAAATAAATATGCACATATGTATGTAGTAAAGCAGCTAAAGTAAAATAGACCAATGGGTGAAAATTGTACTATCGTTTTTTTCTGAGCTTGATTACGTGCTGATTGGAGTTATAAATTTAAGGATTCAGGAAAACTACCTGGGTGGTCCCAAATAATTTTTGTCCCCACTATCCGCAGATCCTAAGAGTATTTCAGTGTTAAATTTGCATCACAGTTCTATTTTTGGAAAATTGCTGAAGGGAAATATTTTTATTCGATTAAAAATATTTACTTTTTATAGCAATTATACGAAAACATGTATTTTCCCACATAAAATTTATGGAAAACTTCAAAGCCCAGGCAGCACGGTTAAACATTAACCCAATTTTCTATTTTCTATAATTCTGGAGGGTGGTCGAAAGAAAATTCCAAAAAAAATTAATTTTCTTGTGTATTTTTGGACCACCCTATTGCACATAAATGACAACAATGTACTTGACTGAGGCTTGAATACTGCCTATTCGATTTAAGTGAGGATATATTGGCTGTTCAGGACGTGGTAGGAGACACAGTAAGGTTCAATGAGTAGTAGCGGCGTTTATTGGAATCATCGGGGCACTCGAAGTTGACATGATGATAAAGGTAATCAGAGGCTCAGTGTATCCAAAAATTAGTCAAAGAATACCTCACTTTTCTTTCTGTTACATCTGACAATTTCGTCGTTAAGTTTATTTCAGTTTAAAAGTTAATACTTTTTCTGTTATCTTTCGTTTACTTTTAAAAATAAATTTTATCAAAATTTGTATTGTGACCCAAAGGCTTTCGTTCACAGGCGTCGATTTTTTTTAATTCTATCAAAATCAACCAGCGTAAATGGTAATCCAACCGACCGCAGTCGACAAAATTCGCCGGAGCCAAAGTAGACTTCCGCTCAACTTTTGTAATTTTTTCAATAAATAATGACCACAGTATTTTTGCGGAAAGGTGTTCCTATATTTTGTTGAAAAAATTACATTGACGTCGACGTCGACAACCGTAATAGGACCGAATATAGATATGAAGTCCAAGCGAATGATTGAGTGAGATTATTCTTAGTGTTTTCGAAATGTGCTGGGTGCTTGTGATCTATGGGATATTTATGTATGTAACACAAGGTGTTTTTGCATGCATATGAGTGAATCTCTTTTATTGTAAACGTTCACAATAGCTTGTTTGGCAATGATACAATAAGGGTATTCACATAAAATAAGAAAGCCTAGAAAAACTCGAAAACTTCAAAATGTGACAATTTATAAGAAATATAAACCCCGATGCCGAGCTTTCTCACATTTGAATACGAACCCTCAATGATTAAATTTTTACTCATATGAATGCAAATGCACAACACGCATGGATGAATGTACATATGTATGTTGTAATGTGCGAAACACAAAAATAATTTTTTTTTTTTTTTTTTATCTGTACAATGCTGCAACAAAATAGTTACAAACACAAATGCACATAGTATGTATGTATGTATGTATGTAAGTATGATTGTATGTATATACCCGTAAACCAGACGTTGACAACAACAAGAAGACAACACAATAAACCACAAACAACAAAGGAAATTAGCGGTTAAAGTAAAGACAGCGAATTTTTTCTTACCGAATCTTCTTTTCTTTTTAGATTTTCTGAGTGTGTTTGTTAAATTGGGATCGGTATCTGGTATCAGAAAATTTCGTTTTTATAATTTTTTTAAATAAAAATTTTTTTTTTTTTCAAATTTTGTCGACATTTGCATTTGGGGAATGGAGAAGTAGTGTTTGGACAGTGGACATATCGCCGATAAATAAGTAGTCAGGTCAATTCAAGTAAATAGGAAGAAAGAAGAAAGAAAATGATTGCAATTCGTTAGTATTTGAGACCATTTTCAGTTATAATTGCATGTGAATATTATTGAGATGTAGGAAAAATTTTTAGTTTAAAGATAATAATTGCGAAACAGTCGAGTGCCTGCACGACTCATGAAATTTCACAAAATTTTGCCACTACATATTTTCGCGTAAAATAGATATAGATATTTGCGGTGAGACTTACCGACTGTAGTATAGCGTACAAATGTTTCCTTGTTCTCCAACATGGCGTCCACCGCAAGTTTTTCACAGTACTGTGCCGTTATAATAGCAATTGTGGGTTGCTTATTCGAAGCGATTGTGGGCATTTGTTTCACGACCTTCCAGGAGATAAATAAACAAATGTTTGAATGTGAATGCTTGCATATGCACGGAGTAAAATTTTTTTTTTTGTAAGATAAATAAATCGATGGTCAAATATATAAATATAACAGTAATTTTAAGTGAAGAATGTTCAATAACTGCATCGATATGTAGACATATCGATAACTACCTCGATGTACATATATTATCGATAAAGTTATGGAAAAAAATATCGATAAAGTAAGCGATCAATATAGATAGAATCATCGCAAATATCGATACATTTAACTAAACTATCAATAAACTTATCGAAAAATGTCGATAATAGCTTCAGTCCCAGGGTTGGGCACGCTGCACTAAATTTTTAATGCACTGAGCATTTCATTGCGACTATTCTTGTAGTGAATGGCTTAGGTGTTTATAGCACCAATCAATGAAAATAAGTTTATTGAATGGGTCGAGCGACTTGCAGGGTTCGAAGAAAGCAAAGTCATTTGCTGCCACTAAAATCTACCTCCTCTCACATTGAGACCGTAGTGCGTGATAAGGCATCGCATCTGTCGCGGGGTGGGCTTGTTTTCTCCAAACACTAAGGCTCTAGACGAGAGGCCTGCCGAATTTAATATCTTCCCTAGTCAAGGGTATCTTGAATTTTTCATGGCTGTTGAATGGTTTATAGTCAGGAAGCTTTCTGACGTAGCCTCCTGGATATTTGGAAAATTTTCAGCTTTCAATCCTTGCACGGTGCTAAAATTCCGTCGACTAAATATCAAAATCAGAATACCGTCGAGTACCACAAGCCCAAAAATCACGTCAGACCCAATGCCGGTTTGAGCATACCTTCGAGTGACTGAAGCAACCCAGGTATGGAGCCGGGACAGATCTGTAAGACTAGTAAATCTAAAAATTCCGGCTTTCACGTCCAGGACTGCCATACGAACAAATTCTTTGGAGGTGGTTCGGCAACGGCTCCTAAAGTATAGATATCTCGTACAGCCAAGCCAATTGCAAGCGGAGCTGTCGTTAGAAGATCGTCGATTACCAAACTTTACTTTGGCGAAGAAAGAGGTTCGCTATGCCGTGAAGGCGCAGCGGGAACATAGTTCTGCCTTCAGAGTCTATTTTTTTCAAAATTTAAAGACAAGCCAAAAAATAAGGAGCAGAAGAAGCTGCTAGAATAGGCCAAGGGCATATCTTCGGAAAGCTGCAAATGAAAAGAGAGCAAGGAGCCTTAAACAAGCGCTTTTCCAGTATAGACACTTAGCCTCAGCGAATCGAGTTTAATGGGTATACGACCCAAAAGATCTCTGTGCTATCTAATTCAAAAGCGGGTTCCGGGTGCCTTTAACAAAGTCTCCATTAATTTGTATACATTTTTACTTTTGTTGCGTCCCGGGTTTTTGCTTGATTCATAAAATATACCAAAAACTCAATTAACTTATGATTCTCACATTCACTCACCTTAATCTCTTTGTCTTCATGGTGAATTCTAGTGAAAGAATTATATTCCATCGATTTGATAAGACCGCGGTCTTTCAGCGACACGAATACCAAAAGCACATCTTGCTCCTCCCAGCCATAGTCTCTGCAAAAATTACAATACAAATATGCACGAAAATTATAAAAAAAATTTTATCATTCAAAATAAATTATATTTATGGAAGTACATACTTAGCTAAATCTTCTGGTGTGACCGGATTCGGATAGGCTTGTTCAATTAATTCGAGCACCTTTTCCGGCGTCAATGGCGGAGATTCAATTTGTGATTCCTCCAGTGAAACTGCAAATTCGCACACAGTGAATAGGAATAAATGCAGAAAAGGGAAGAAAAAAGAGAAATATGCATTCAATTAAGCGAATTTGTTAATGGCATGCAAATGAAGACCAAACAAAAAACAAAAAAAAACAACAGAGTATGATTGTATTCATGTATATATGTATATAGTTGCATGCGTAACCGTTGTTTTATTAATTTAATTAAAGTAGATAATTTGCATTCAATAAATGGCAGTATAAGGGCCAGAGCAGCGACTAAATTGGACATAGGACAACCGTGAGTCAGTGAAATTCACTGATATGCGTACAGAGGTTGCAAAAATGCATGTACAGTGACGGTCAAAAATGGATGAATGGTGTCTCGTTTTTAATATTTGCAATGACTTTCAAAATACCATTTTTTGATATTTTTTTATAAAATCATGGTTCATGCTTTAACAAAAACCAATAATAAATCACACTTTAAGGTTTATACGGAATTTAGAAAAATTTCAGAAAATTTTAATCTAAACTTCGAGCTTTTTAACCAGAGCTTTATACATTTTTTTTGGGTATGCAGTTAACAGGCTTATAAAATTTTAGTAAAACAAATAAGTTTTGAGCGGCGAAAAAATCGCACTGATTTAAACAATTTTTTTTTTTTTTGTTGACGATTTTATGTACTTTTTTCCAAATAAACATGAGGAAAAATATGCGCAAGACCGTTTACGAAAAAATAAAAAAATGCAACGCTCGTTTTCCTTAATTTCGCTATTTATATGAAAAAAACCGCAAAAGTTGTCAGCGAAAAAAAAATTAAAAATCAATGCGGTTTTTTTATTTCTCTTAAAATTTCTAAGCCTGTTAACTGCATACCCAAAGATTTTATAAAAAAAAATTGTAGTTAAAAAGTTCAAAATTTAAATAAAAATTTCTGGAATTTTCCTAAATTCTGTATAAAGTTTGAAAAGGTGATTAATATGGTGTTTGTTAAAGCATGTACCATATTTAAAAAAAAATAGCAAAAAAATTTATCCTGAAAAACATTGTAAATATTAAAAACGAAGCATTATTCATCCATTTTTGACCGCCACTGTATGTACAAATATTAGTAAGTTCCAATATTGCGCAATTATGACGCATAAAATTCCAGACAAAAGCCAAATGATTTATTGGATGGTTAAAGTGCACAAGCGTTCAGGTTATGGCGAGTTGCATTTATCAGGACTTATCACGGCTGGAAAATTTCACGTAAAAACATAAGTACCTTCATCTATGTACCTAGTTCCTATATGTGTGGTACTTGTTTATGAACTAACCGAATTATAATAAAATAAAAGCAAACGCGCAAAGTAAACACCAGCCGTCATATAAAAAGCAGAGACCGAGAACAAAAGGTATGATTGTAACCAAACGCCATTCTCGTAGTTTTGTTCTCAAGAACGCTTCAAAACCGAAACCGAAATGAGAACAAAACTGCCGATAACGCTCTCAAGGGGAATGATATAAGAACAAAACCCTGTGGAAAGTTCCCAAAGAGAACAAAATACGAGCAATATTTACGGCAACATTTCTAAGAGAACAAAATGGGAACAAAAGTCTTCGGAATGTTTTGAAAAAGGACAAAACGGGAACAGACGTCTGAGCAACTGAGTCTCGAAGAACAATTTGGGAACTAAAGTCTCAGGAACTTTCTAACAGAGAACGAAACGGAAAAAAATCTTCCCTGAACTATGCGCGAAGAATGGAAGTGCGAACAAAATTTTTCTCATAGCGTTCCATTAATTTGAAGTGTTTGAAAATTAAAATTAATAAAAAAAGAACAAAGATAATTATGCAAATACAGTCAACGAAAGACTTAAGACACGAACTTTTCTTACACAGAAAATAAAAATTTTTCCTTAATGATAAACGATCTGAAATTGAAATTATCCAGCTTTCCTCTGGCTTAGAATTAACAATCGTGGTTCTCGCAGAAACGATTTTCCCTCACAACACGCGGACGCCCCTCTCATTCTTAACGTTAAGTTCGCAAAATGTTTGCTCTCGTTTTGTTCTCTAGCAGAACGTTCCCCAGACTTCTGTTCTCATTTGATCTATCTTGGATACGTTCTCGATACTTCCGTTCTTATTTTGTTCTCATTGAAAACGTTCCCGAAAGTTTTTTTCTCATTATTTTCTTCTTGAGAACGTCCCGAGAGTTTTGTTCTCAGCTTGTTCGCGCTCAAACTGCTCTCAATACTTTTGTTCCCGTTTGGCTCTTTTGTGGGAACATTGTTGATATTACATTTTGTTCTCGTGCAGAACTAAACCAAAACTGGAACGCTTTCTCGGTCCCTGATAAAAAGTCTTTACGGATTTGTATCATCATGTGGTTTTGATGCCTATACATCTCTGTCAACACTAATCAGTTTTCGTCAATCGTGCGTGTGACAGGTGACATTTCAGGTTAGATGGAGAAAATTCTGTAATTTCTTGCTCATGCAAAAAGTTATTCTAATTTGAAATTGACTGCAATATCTAAAGAAATATGATGCTTTTTACTATAAAAAAGCTGGAAACGCTTCAAATGCCGAAATTTTTGAAGGGTGCCGTGGGAATTCTGTTGCTGAAATTTTGATGTCAAAGATGCACTTCGCTCTCGTCGAGTAGTCACTGGAAAAGTCGATGAAATAATGCAAATGGTTGTGAAAGACAGATGTGCGAAGCTGTCAGGAGATAGCGAAGGCACTAAATATAAACAATATAACTGTTTAGGCGTGACTACTAACACCAAGCGCCTAAATGCATACTATTCACTGCTGCATAAATTCCATAAAGGAACTTTCCGCACCTGTACTTCTCAATTGCCATATAATAAAGCTTGCTTAAGTTATAAGTTGTTGGCACTTCAAAGTATGCTCGGCTTAAAGCTCAGTTAGTCTAGACTTAACTTAATTTAACTTAGCGTAAGAAATCATCAATGACTACTCAACACGTCAACTTAAGCCAAGAGCGGACATATTTTGTTTTTGTATTTTCTTTTTCAGCTGTTTAACAGTTCGACGCCTAAAATGTTTGCTTTCATTTATTTTTAAGAAATACAAAAGCGAGAGTCTGGCAAGCCTGATTCTCTCACCGCTCCCAATTTCCGTAAGGCCGTAAACTAAGAACCTAAAATCTGCAGATGCTAAAGTTTACAGTAGGAAAGTAGGAAGTTTTAACTAACCTCCAACACAGTTTCTCATATAACCGATTGGCAAAAATTAAGTTAAGTTACGGAAATTGAGTCTAGACTAACTGAGCTTTTAGTCTGATGTATTTTTCGGGCCCTAATTCCGGAGTTTGCTGCAGGCCCTTCGTGGCTTACAACCATGCAGAGATGAAAACTGATGGTTAACATTGGCCACAGTACCTACCCACTGTTTTTTGGTCCAATAAATTTTTTTCTTCCTAACTGAGTTATCTAATGACAGTTTGGAATTATCTAAAAAGAGCCGTCTATTCAAATAACCTCGATATTTGGGTGCTAAATGAATTAGCGCGAAGAAATTTGATGGAAGCAATGCTGAAGCGCAACAAAATCGAACCATTTTTTAAGCGAATAATTACGGGAAACGTTAAATGAATTGAGTACCAGACGAAGCAACGCAAGCGATCAAAAACTGTTGTCCCTCCACAAACGACTTTATACTATGTTCAAACAGGGAACCAATTAGCTAATTGAGATTATTTCTGCAATTAGGCCCCTAATTGCAACAAAATTAGCCTCATAAAAACTGAAACAATTAGCTGGCAATTAGTAATTAATTGGCAGAAAATTGTCGTAAAATTGCTCATGCAACCCTGTGAAATGTGTTTCATGGAAAGAATGAAAGATGAAAAGAGGAGAGGTATGTTCGATAAAAAAACGAAATGTCATGTCAAGGAGTTGTCGTCCTTGAAGACTTTCCAAGTCAAATTGATGGAACTTGGCTGGGAAGTTTTAATGCATCTACTGTTATAGCCCGAACCTTGCACTGTCCGACTTCAATTTGTTCCGGTCTCTGCAAAACTCTCTTGATAGTAAAAATTGGCCCACCGAAGAGCCGCTGACAATCACTTGGCCAAGTTTTTCATCGATAAACCACAGAAGAATTATGATCAATGGCATATTTTTTGTATATTTTTTTAAAGCCTGGTCTTTTACAAAAAAAAAAAATCAACCTACCAGCGAAGAAAATCGAGGTATGCATAAATAAAAAAAAAGTTGTGAATGATGAAATGAAAATGCACAATGATTTTTTTTTTATAAAATATGAGCCGGCAAAAATGTTGCTCATACGCCATGTACGACCTGATCTAGAAAACGGACTGTTTTAAACGGTATGCAGATCCGTTACCTACGGCCCAAACTTAAGTTTAGATGTATCACCATTTTTTTGGAGGAACGCTTAAGTCCCTACAGTATATTTAATTGCCGATATGTAATTGATTAAAATTTATTTTCAATAAATTTTCCCAAAAATCCGCATGACACAATAGTTTTTTTTTTTTTGAATAAAAAATGTAGTTCATAAATTAGTGAGACAATAAAAATACCTTCCAACTACTAAAACAACAGCAGGACTCTGGTGATCCTAGCCAAGTATGTATACCTAGTGCTATTGCTAATTATTTTTAGGAAACTATTCATAAGTATTCCAAATTCGAGAGCGAATTAAGCCAAATGCACTTTCCTCGAAACGAAAATCTCATGAATCGTGGCCATAACTTGAAAATTATTGGGCTCAAGATTTGGAATTGCATTTCGCGTAGGCTTACAAGAAAATCCAACGGCGTCATCTCGCCGGGTCTTGAAGCCGATTCGACATCGTCCCAACGATACTGGGAAACCTCCCTGGCAAAATTACCCTCTTAATAAAAATAAAAATAAATTGTTCGAGCATCACTTTTATGGTAACTAGGTTTTAATAATTTTAATAAGTAAGAAAGTCGAAAAGGGTTACATAGATAATCGTCTGTGAAAGTGTAAAGGGCTCTTACGCATACTAAAAATTTAGACGCATTTCTGAGGGTTGAAGCTTCTCCTTCAAGCCCATTTTATTTGTAATCCATTCCCAGGAGATGCTTCCGTTGGCGTAAGGCAAGAAAGTTTCACTGCCTTTTAGAGAATAATAGGTCTCTAGTTCTGGGTTTAAGGCTACGTCCCGATAGAATTACAAGTACCTTTGCATGCCCGGATATGAGGTTTCTCCACGGCTGGATCGTATGTAACCAGGCTGCACTGCAGCCGGCCGGAAACTTCCCTTGAGATCCACAGGTGGAATATTTAACATTATTTCCAGAGATTTGGTGGGTATCACTACAGGGCAGTGCTCCCGTGACGAGCATGGCTGCCGTCCTCTGCACGCTTTCCACATTGGCTCTGGACAAGGTGTCGTTTAGCGCCTGCGACCATATGGTGGAATCGTAGAGAAGGATGGGTCTTATGACAGCGTATACATCCAATGTACTATATGTGGATTTATTCCCCATTTTTAGCGCATAGTCGTCTTTCAGGCATACAGGGCGGTATTGGCCTTCCTAGAGAAGTCTTCTACGATCCGCTTCCAGTCAAGTTTCTTGTCTAGAATAAGCCCAAGGTATTTGACCCCGGTAAGTGACACCCCGATTATGGTGGAAGGTTTAATTAGAGAAGTTTTATACTTCCTTTTGAAAAGTACCATTTCTGTCCAGGTAGGATTGACACTAAGTCCACATTCCTCAGACTAGATGTTTGATCGTTTTACTAAGTAATTTAGGATTTCCACAGAAAAAACTCACTTTCCTCAATAAGGGCATCAAAATTACAGCACAATGCGCTAATTTTATCCTTCCCACCGAACCGGGAGCAGAGAAAATACTCCTTGTGCTTTTAAGTTCTCAGCTCCCACTTTTGGTGAGAGTTCTGGGATTTCGTTATCTGACAGGAATACACGGTAAGCCTCAAAATGACATGTGCTGGCATAACCTCAATGTTTGTATTTTAACACCAAAAATATTTCAAAGAAAGACACTCAAGTGGCTTTGCTTTATTAAATCTAATTTTATTGTTATTTTTTATTATGTACATTTGTATTTCATATATGTAACACAGAAAAGGCACTTATGTTGATGAGTGGTAAAACGAAATATGATGCACCAAAGTAAGTAATAATAAACGCAATCATTTCAACAAGAAAAAACACAACAAAACATGCGAACGTAAGCAAATATGAACATTACGGCAGCTAGGCAGCAGAAAAAGGACTATAAAGAAAAAATTTATCGCACGCGAAACAAACAAAAACCGCACAAAAAAAAGAAGAAATTAAAAAACAAAAAATATATACGAAATTAGAAAGAAAGATGATGGATAGATAAGTTCATCAGCGACGAGAGGTAAACACATTTTTTGTTTGTTTATTTGTGTAAAAGTAACTATGGAGTAGACATAAATAAATGCAACCCAGTCAACGAGTACCACGATTATCAGATAAACATACAATAAATAATTTTTTTTTTGTATATTTAGGTTTTATCAGAATTTCATTTTTTTTTTATGACGGTTCTTTCTTTCGCTTCTCGCTTTATTTTGGTTAAGGCTTTTTTGCTTTGTTTGTTAATTTGCAGCACACTTGCGCTCCCAATGCGGTTGTTAGGGTGGAGTATGAGGAATGTTTTATTCGATTATTGTTATTATTATTATTTTTTGTGGCATTGGTGAGCCAAAAGCACATTTATGTATGTAAATATTTAGTTTATATCCAGTAGTATGCAAAAATGTACATTTATTTATTTATATGTATGTATGTACATGTTTATGCATTTGGATGCGCGCGCGCTCGCGCTAATTAAGTTTTTTTTTAACTATTTGCGACGTGTTAGTTGCTCATTGTACATATCCAGCCAAATGGCTTTCATTAAATCATCGCCATCACCTGTTTTACGCTGCGCCTGCAGAGCCTCCTCGAATTTTCGATTACAATCACCATAACAATAAATAATGTAACCATCGCGAGCTATTTTTTTTTTTTTTTTTTTTTTTCATTTATGTAGAGAAAAGAATTCATTCCAATTCGAAGTCGCAACATTTCGATGGAAGTTGTTGAAAGTTGTAAGGCGGGGCGGGGCGGCGCGCGGGTGTCGCAAATGGGCAGGCGTGAAATATTTCAATTGTGGGCGAAAAGGAAATCAACCATACAAATATGCGACGAAAAACCCATTTTAGTCGTGATGGAAGAAGAAAAAAGTAAGGTTTTTTTTGAAATTTTAATAAAGTAAATTGAGATACATAGATAAGTTTATAGATATTAAGTAGCTGCATTTGTAGACGTTTGTAGATGTTGGTGCATAGTGCGGGTGAATGTTTTTTTTAGAGACAAGTTAATTTCTTAATTTTGTGCAAGGTTAGTGTTGTGTGGGTGAGATACACGAATATATATTTATTGTATTTTGTCACACCCACCAGACAAGCAGGAATACTTAGTGAAAGAGAAGTAGATAAGACGTTTTCGTTTGAAAAGAACGGGAAAATCAAAATAATGAGTGAGAAGATATAATTTGATTTTTTTATACCCAATGCCTTTTTGATGAGTTTTTTTTCAAGCGGCTGCTATATCAAATTTGGTTATAAGAACAGAGTGTATATCAACGAAAATATTAAATAAAAATTAAAAAAAGCAACAAAAAATGCTAGTTATTCTAAGCAAGAAATACCGACTATTTTTGCATTTTTTAAAAGTAATTTTGATTTGACTGATATTTCTTTTAATATCGAAAGAAAACTGGAAAAGTTCCAAAAAAGTCCTGAAAATTCCAGAAAAGTAAGACACAAAAACATTTAGAAAACCGTTGAAAATATTTGCCAAACACACAAAAGGGACCGAAATCCAGACAAATAAATCACGTACATATAACCTCGAACAAGGCTCAAAAAAAGCTCATAACTCGAACTCCCAAAAACTTCCGAAAAACTTCGAAAAGTTCAATACTAAGAATTCCGAGTAAATGCCGAGAATATCTTAAGGTAAAACACGAAGTATTCCGAAAAACATAGGAAAATAAATCACAAAAGATCCCGAAAAGTGCCGGTAAAAATAAAGAAATGTCTCAAAAAGTTCCAAAAAGTAAAACAGCAAAAATATCGAAAAGTATCGAAAAAATCAAAAAAAAGGTCCCGAGAAATAAAACACGAGGGCTCACTAAAAGTCTCGAAAAAATCGAAAAAAATGTCCTAAAAAATAACAAGAAACAACATGAGCATTTCTCGATCAAAATAATAAACGTAGGCGCTTTTATAAGTGCTACACCAGCTCTTTCCGATTAAAAAAATAATAATAATTTTTTTTAGTCGCTTCATTTTTTTTGAAGTTAGCAAGAAAATTAGAGAAAGTGTCACAATTCTGATTTCGAATTCAGATTCAGATGTGGGTTGACTACTTTATTTATGAGACTCTGTGATCGACTCCCTGCAGCATGCGTAATCGTGCGACTTCATTCGTTCAATACCGATCTGCAATTCTCAACAGTCTAATTTCTAGCGCATTTCATATACATACAACGTAAAATGACTAAATACTGTCTGAATTAGCAGGCAGATGTATTTGCTGTCATCGCAGACTGTCGTCTTTGTAACGGGTTGCAATTTCTCGGGTAGCCGGATGGTCATTATTTCCGTGGTGTCCCTCATAAGAAAGTCAAAGCAGGTTAAGAATTGCAGAACTAATTCGGGAAAAATTTACTTTGGGTCACTGGTCATTGCAATATTTCCGAAAATGAGACTGTATGAGTTAGACAGAGAGCATTAAACATCGTCCTTAATCGATTGCAGGCCAGTACAATCTAATATCCAGCAATTATAATAAAAAGGGGGTGCGATTTCTTGTATACTGCTCTAGCAAAAATGTTTTTTTTCGTAAAATCTTCGTTTGATCGAAATCTATACCTGTTGACCATAATTTTTTTTCTGATGAAGGTATCATCGATTATTTCTCTCTCAGTATGAAATCCCGCCATTGTAAACGCGCTCTGTCGGTCATACAGAAATTATCCCCTTTACACCTCTTGCTTTAATTGCTGCTAAAAACCTGGACATGGACAAAACATTTTAGCGCCCTCATAATTAACTATTATCTGCATTGGGTATAAAAATTTCGTGGTTTAAATAAACTCAAAAAATGTAAAATTTCTTGTGCCATAATGATTAGTTACTTACGCGGTCGTGATGGTGGCTCTGCCGTTTCCTCCAATATGCGCAATTCGATTTCCAATGACTGTATCTCATCGTAGCCGCGCTGCATAAGTTTCATAATTTTTTTAATGAAACCAACATAATCTGCGAAGTAAAAAAAGAAAGAACAAAAGAATTCGAAAACTTTATATCCACTCGAAAACACAAAACTCACGCTAGGTAAATCACTCTCTCGCACAGACCCCCCACACTCACACACTTCACTCACTTACCTCTTGGAAAATCTTTCGGACTGACCAACTCCTTGAAGAAGTCCTGTGCAATTTGTGCCTGCTTCTCGTCGTTGCGCAACCATTGCCGAAACCAGAAACGCAGCGTTCGTGATTCTTGTGAATGTTTGCCTGTATTTGCACTCACGAGGAAAACACGAAACTCCAACGACAGCTGTGCTGGTATACTTTGACTTTTCTGTCCGCTAACGGTATCCTTATTGATTATGATGCCTGTATGATCTCCACCAGCAACATGGACCCGCTCATTTATCTCATCGACCAATTTGCGTTCGATCAGTATAACAGTACTATTGGCTGTTTTACCTTTGGGCGTCATTACGACTTGCTCTTGATCAGTGCGCGGTGGCGTGTGACACGACCTACGGCCATTCACGTTCTGATTGTGGCGCAGCAGGCTACCCTGGTTGTTGTCTGTCAACGAGGATATGCTGCCACTGCGACTGCCACTAGCGCTGCCATTACCATTTCCGTTGGCATTCGCGAATGTGCCGTTGCCATTTGCTGCATACGTTTCGTATGGTGTGGTACCATTGGCGGTGACGGATTTGTTTGGTTTGGGAGGTGGTGGCGGTGGTGCCATTTGTGGATGACTTCTAGCTGACATGATTGGTTGGGTGTGTTTGTCCACCTATGTATGTATTTATATTGATGTTCTGATTTCCCCCCGGTGTTTATTCTATTTATTTGTTTATTTTTGATATTCCACTTGTTTTTGCAACCTTGGCTGAGTTTAATATATTCAAAACTTCGAAAATGCCTCAAACTTTTTGTAGTCTATTGTGTTGACCTGAAATAGAAAGAAATATTGACGATAAGACTTTATGTGGTTGAAAACACTGCGAGAAATTTTATTACATAATAAGTACTTCAGGAATGATTAGCAATATAACTTAAAAAGGTAGGATACGGTGAAATAGAGGGCATTTGGCATTTCAATTTCTTGTCAGTAACAACTTCAGACCTTCTAAATAAGCCCTAACAACTAAAGGCCCCTCTAGATCAGCCTGCGCTGTTCTCTTGAAATATTCGGTTTTTCACCGATCGGATGTTCGAAAGCCAAGCTACCCAGCTAGCATTTATACTCGTTATTATGAAGATGGGACAACACCGAAACCGGGTTTTCTCCAAAAAAAAAAAATAAATAAAAAATTACAAGGGATAACTGTCTAGCGGCCAAAATATTGATTGTGTCATGCATTTGAAACATAAAATTATTTGCGGTATTCTGTAACAATGCCCATTTTTAATTGTTTTTGCAAAACCTCTGAAGAGACTTAGTTCCAATTTTGAGGCAGACGGTTAATACATACTGAGTACGTGACAACGCCGGAACAATGTTTATATTCGGCGTCAAAGTTTTAGGCGAAGCAATTGTGTAAAGCAATATCCATGCGAAGAGTTTTGCGGTGGAGTGCAATAAGGCCCCCGCGGAAATAACGCCTATGGGCTTTATTTCCCCAAAAAAAAAAAAATAAAGCCCATGGTCGTTATTTCCATTTCGAAGGGGAAATAGCTGGCCATCATGTCGGCTTTACCCAGCTGCCTGCTCTCTTGCTTCCGATGTGATATAAACAGTTCCTAAATATATAAGAAAATCTAAGCAATCTTTGCTCAAAGATAACACTTTTATTTTTTACGGTGTAGCGCAGAAATATGATTATGAGTGCATAATTTAAACGTCTACATATATATATTTATGTATATTTGACTATGTCTGTCTCTCCATACATATGTATGTATATATGTACATATGTACCGATATGCAAATTTTCCTTTTTCATATGTTTCTCTTTTGTACGGATATCTATTAAAGACATTCGTGTTCGAAAAATATTCAAAAAGAAAACCAAGAATGGAAAACCATTAAGAAGGAAAAGGAAAAGTTGCTTTAACTCTGATTAATTTCAGTCATAAAATTTTGCCGGATATTTTTGATTTCGTGCGCAAGCTATTAAATGTTGGCGTAGTTGCATACCTACGGTGACCAGATTTGTGTGGACAAAAATCGGGACATTTATACAGCAGCGATTCCGAACATACTATTTTGTTTTCCGAATAAAAAGTCATAACATCTTTTAATACAGTCTTATTTACAACAAAATAATGAGAAAGAAATTTACACACAATATATACGGTGGCGTGAATATGAATAGGAAAGAAACTTTTTGGCAAGTTTTGGCTTATTTTCTTTGTTTAAAAAAATGCATTGTTTTTTATGAAAATTTATATAGCTTACTATCTAAAAACAAACCATCTAAATCATAATTTTAAAATTTCGACGAATTTTAACAAATGTTGATTCAAATTCTAAACATTTTAATCCGATTTTGTAGAATTGTTTTTTTACAAATGTTGATTCAAATTCTAAACATTTTAATCCGATTTTGTAGAATTGTTTTCAGTATGTAGTTTTGTTGCCCATTCAAATCAAAGCGCAAGTTTGAAGCAGCTTGGACTTACTCTTGACTTTTGCCATTTTTTTGTTCCCGAATTTTCTTCCATACAAAGTATGCTCTAAAATTTTTTGATATGAAGAAGATGAGCAACACCTGTCAAAAAAAAAAAAACTCCAAAAATCAACAGTAAGTTCTACTTACTTAGGAAATCTAATTAAAAAGCTCAAAATGTTGATGAAACTTTGTCGAACTTATGCAGATTTCAATTCTACTAAAAAATGCAACCTTCTCTTTGCCCTCTACGTACAAACACTAAGAAGAGGGCGATGGGCAGGCAACTTTTTTGTAGAAACGAAATCGCCATTAGCTAATTTTTGTACATGGTCTTTGTTAGATAACGAGCTTCACGTTCATAAAAAAATAATGAACATTAAATAATCGAAAGGGGAATAGCCAAAAAATGCTAAAATGTCTCTTGCCTATTTATATTTTTGCCACAATATCTACAGTTTAAGTTTTTCATATCCATGAAATGTTTGATAAGCAAACCCAAAATTTTTTAGTGTCGGAAGTCATGCGAAAATGGTTTTATAAGAATAAGTTGAGAATTGGAGTGTTAGAAAAATTTTGAAAACAGCTACCTGAATTACTCGGCCAGATCTACGACCTTTACTAGATCACTTAAAAAGTTCGTTAGATCCTTTTTAGTTTGTAACATCGTGTAATTATAAAAACCTTCCAAAAGTTCAGACAGGAGTGATAGACTGCAATATAGCGAAAGTACCAGTTTGACATAATAAAACATAACCAAAAATCATAGAAAGTAAGGATGCTATGTTCATGGCTCCCTTATATTCTATGTCCTTTGTGATAACGAAAGTGCTGCCTCGTTTGTACGAAAAATTGTTTTTGAGCCAGAGTATAGCGAGAGTCTTCATAAATGAATGAAGAAAACACTGAAAATATGACTTAATCGGTACAAATATGAAAAAAACGGGACACTTATACGTCCCGACTTAAAAAAAAATAAAAATCAGCGGGACAATTTTCTCAAAATCGGTACTTTTCCGCCAAAATCGGTACGAATGGTCACCGTATGCATACCAAAGCAACGGCTCCAATATATGTATATATGTGCAAGTACAGGTGTATTAACATGCAAGGTAAAACACTATTCGAACTGACAATTTATGTGTAGATTTGTAATAATACATACATATGTATAAATTTAACGTTTTTTTTTCATAGCAAAAAAAATTTTTCGCCACTATTTCGCCAGCCCATTTTGCACCAGGCGAAAGTAATTTGATGCACATACATACATAGTACATACAAGTTTTATACCCTGCAGGAAAAAATTTTAAATTTATTTCTAAGAAACAGTTACCAAAATGTAATGTCAAGAACATTTACACAAAAGAGCCAACGGGGGAAAAAGTATTGAGAGCAGTTTTAAGGGAACAAAAGGAGACCAAAGGATTCGGGAATGTTTCCGTAAAGAACAAGATGCGAAAATATGCATATGAATTGATAGTGAAATCCACAGAAATTTTTTTTAAGCAAATATTTAGGAGCACCGTTAATTTCTTCATGATCCAACGATCAAAGCGAAACCAAATTAGTATGGAACCACCATTGAGATACCACCGATATTCCAATGAATTAATAACCTTCCGCGTTTTTTTTTTTGGGAAGTCGGTTAAAAATAAATAAATTAAAGTAGGAGAAAATATTAGAAGCACCAAAGATTTACGCCTCCAAACTCCTTAAAAGGGCACATTCCGAAACGCTGGACTTTCCAAGAGAGTAGCTATGTACATTTTTCGAAGTTTGACTTTACAAGTAAAGGTAAACAAACAAACTCGCTCAACAAAAGCGGCAATTGTATCAGAATGTAGTGATGTTTGGTTTTATTTCCTTATTTTTTTAGTGTAGGTAGGTAGTAATATTATTTACGACTTGTTTACATTTAACTCTACACGGTAGCTATCAATTTCACGAAATTTTTTAACATCACGTCAGTTTTATCGTTTTGCTAAATGTGAATATGCCTGTGTGTGTTGACTGGTAACCTGATCCCGTCTAATTTCTTTCTAGGTCAAAGTAGAACGTGTGCCTCAACGTTGGAAGCATTACGACTGCGCGCTTGATACATATGTATGTTGATGTATAAATAAAGATATTTATGTAATCCACACCACCAGATTGACTAATGACATTTGCGTCGACGATATTGGCAAAGTGATAAAATTTCAATTAAGCTGACATATTTGCCCTTAATTTGAGGTGTGATGGCAGGCAGCCGACCAATCCGACACTTTCGATTTTTATTTTGAACAATTTAAGGCGCATTTAATTCGCATAAATCCACGTACATACATATGTTTGTATAAAAAACATATGTTTCGGTGCACGTTCACTCCCAAAATAGGCAAAAATCGCCCAGGGGCATGAGGTACATAAGTACGATCATTAAACCAGCACTACAGAGAATGTATATATATAAGAAATTATTTTCAGCTTTATATTTTTCTATCTGAGTGAAGAAGACTGCAGCAGTTTGAGAAGGAGCAGGTGGTTTTCTTGAAAATTTAGACATCATCGTCCTTTTCGCCCAAGATTTAATGAAGGATATGGCTATGTAAGTACATACAGATATTTATACGATGAGCAAAGAGATTATAATCAATTAATTCAGTAAAAACTTGCATTTCGATAAAGCACTCGAAAAATAGGCATACACACAATTTTTTCGTAATTCATTTCGCTTTCTTCGGTATTAAAAAATTAAAAAATTGAAAATTTTAAATTAACAATTATAAAATTTCACTAACAATTTTAATGTTCGAAAACTTTTTACAGATATCTAAGGATCAGATAAAAGTCAAAACACCATTTATTTCTAGTAAGGTGGAGTCATTTGCAACATTTCCCAAAAATTGGTTGGTTATTTTTTACATTGTTCGAACACCAGTAACAACAGTTTTACTATAACCAAGATCTATAACTATAGCCAAGATTTTTCACTACATGGTTAGGCGCTCGAAATTATACTAATTAAAAATGCCATAGTTTTGTCTAAATATTTTTTTTTTATCTACAAACATTAGTTCAACTTAAAAAAATTTCAAATTTTAATAAACATTTATTACTGTTCGATGTAGCCACCTTTATCGCGGCTAATAGCAACGATTCCGTTCTGAATTTTTTGTTGTGGAACAAAATTTTTAAAGGTCGCTACCAGGGTTTGAAAAATTTTAATTTTTTAAGACAGAAAAAATTGATCAACATTTTGACTTTGACCAGATATAATTTAGCGTATTGAAACATATTCATATAAATTCATAAACTCGCTGAGCTCCAGCTATGGAAAGTTGAAAACTTTGT